TCTCTTATACACATCTAGATGTGTATAAGAGACACGACACACATAGGCTCAAAATAAAGGGATGGACGAATGCTTACCAAGCAAATGGAAAACAAAAAAAAAAGCAGAGGTGCAATCCTTGTCTCTAATAAAACAGACTTCAAACTAACAAAGATCAAAAGAGACAAAGAAGGGCATTATATAATGGTAAAGGGATCAATGCAACAAGAAGAGCTAACTAAATATATATGCATCCAATACAGGAGCACCCAGATTCATAAAGCAAGTTCTTAGAGACCTAGACTGCCACACAATAATAGTGGGAGACTTGAACACTCCGCTGTCAATATTAGACAGATCAACGAGACAGAAAATTAACAAGGACATCCAGGACTTAAACTCAGCTCTGGACCAAGAAGACCTAATAGACATCTACAGAACTCTTCAACCGAACTCAACAGAATATACATTCTTCTCAGTACCACATCACACTTATTCTAAAATTGACCACATAATTGAAAGTAAAACACTCCTCAGCAAATGCAAAAGAATGGAAATCATAACAAACAGTCTCTCAGACCACAGCGCAATCAAATTAGAACTCAGGATTAAGAAACTCACTCAAAACCGCACAACTAGATGGAAACTGAACAATCTGCTCCTGAATGAATACTGGGTCAATAACGAAATTAAGGCAGCAACAAATATGTTCTTTGAAACCAAAGAGAACAAAGACACAACGTACCAGAATCTCTGGGACACATTTAAAGCAGTGTGTACAGGGAGATTTATGGCACTAAATGCCCAGAGGAGAAAGCAGGAAAGATCTAAAATTGACACCCTAACATCACAATTAAAAGAACTAGGGGAGCAAGAGCAAATAAATTCAAAAGCTAGCAGAAGACAAGAAATAACTAAGATTAGAGGAGAACTGAAGGAGACAGAGACACAAAAAACCTTCAAAAAATAAATGAATCCAGGAGCTGGTTTTTTGAAAAGATCAACAAAATAGACAGACCATCAACCAGACTAATAAAAAAAAAAAAAAGAGAGAAGAATCAAATAGATTCAATAAAAAAAGATAAAGGGGATATCATCACCAATCAAAGAGAAATACATACTAGCATCAGAGAATACTGTAAACACCTCTATGCATATAAACCAGAAAATCTAGAAGAAATGGATAAGTTCCTGGACACACACACCCTCCCAAGACTAAACGAGGAAGAAGTTGAATCCCTGAATAGACCAATAACGAGTTCTGAAATTGAGGCAGCAATTAATAGCCTACCAACCAAAAAAAGTCAAGGACCAGATGGATGCACAGCCAAATTCTATGAGAGTTACAAAGAGGAACTGAAACCATTCCTTCTGAAACTATTTCAAACAATAGAAAAAGAGGGAATCCTCCCTAACTCATTTTATCAGGCCAGCTTCCTGATACCAAAATCTGGCAGAGACACAACAAAAACAACAACAAAATTTCAGGCCAATATCCCTGATGAATATCAATGCAAAAATCCTCCATAAAATACTGGTAAACTGAATCCATCAGCACATCAAAAAGCTTATCCATCATGATCATGTCGGCTTCATCCCTGGGATGCAAGGCTGGTTCAACATACGCAAACCAATAAATGTAATTCATCACATAAACAGGACCAACGACAAAAACCACGATTATCTCAATAGATGCAGAAAAGGTCGTTGACAAAATTCAACAGCCCTACATGCTAAAAACTCTCAATAAACTAGGTATTGATGGAATGTATCTCAAAATAATAAGAGCTATTTATGACAAACCCACAGCCAATATCATACTGAATAGGCAAAAATCGGAAGCATTCCCTTTGAAAACCGGCACAAGACAAGGATGCCCTCTCTCATCACTCCTATTCAACAGTATTGGAAGTTCTGGCCAGGGCAAACAGGCAAGAGAAAGAAATAAAAGGTATTCAATTAGTAAAAGAGGAAGTCAAATTTTCTCTGTTTGCAGATGACATGATTGTCTATTTAGAAAACCCCATCATCTCAGCCCAAAGTCTCCTTAAGCTGATAAGCAACTTCAGCAAAGTCTCAGGATACAAACTCAATGTGCAAAAATCAAAAGCATTCCTATAAACCAATAACAGACAGAGAGCCAAATCATGAGTGAACTCCCATTCACAATTGCTACAAAGAGGATAAAATACCTAGGAATACAACTTACAAGGGATGAGAAGGACCTCTTCAAGGAGAACTACAAACCGCTGCTCAAGGAAATAAGAGAGGACATAAACAAATGGAAAAACATTCCATGCTCATGGACAAGAAGAATCAATAATATGAAAATGACCATACTGCCCAAGGTAATTTATAGATTCAATGCTATCCTCATCATGCTACCATTCTTCACAGAATTGGAAAAATCTACTTTGAATTTCATATGGAACTAAAAAAGGACCTGCATAGCCAAGACAATCAAATGCAAAAAGAACAAAGCTGGAGGCATCATGCTACCTGACTTCAAACTATACTACAAGGCTACATTAACCAAAACAGCATGGTACTGGTACTAAAACAGATATATAGACCAATGGAACAGAACAGAGGCCTCAGAAATAATGCCACACATCTACAACCATCTGATCCTTGACAAGCCTGACAAAAACAAGCAATGTGGAAAGGATTCCCTATTTAATAAATGGTGCTGGGAAAACTAGCTAGCCATATATAAAAAGCTGAAACTGGATCCCTTCCTTACACCTTATACAAAAATTAATTCAAGATGGATTAAAGACTTAAACGTAATACCTAAAACCACAAAAACCCTAGAAGAAAACCTAGGCAATACTATTCAGGACATAGGCATGGGCAAAGACTTCATGACTAAAACACCAAAAGCAATGGCAACAAAAGCCAAAATAGACAAAAAGGATCTAATTAAACTAAAGATCTTCTGCACAGCAAAGGAAACTATCATCAGAGTGAACAGGCAACCTACAGAATGGGAGAAATTTTTTGCAATCTATCCATCTGACAAAGGCCTAATATCCAGAATCTACAAAGAACTTAAACACAAGAAAAAAAAATCCCATCAAAAAGTGGGTGAAGGATATGAATAGACACTTCTCAAAAGAAGACATTTATGCGGCCAAAAAACATGAAAAAAAGCTCATCATCACTGGTCATTAGAGAAATGCAAATCAAAACCACAATGAGATACCATCTCACACCAGTTAGAAAGGAGATCATTAATAAGTCAGGAAACAACAGACACTGGGGACGATGTGGAAAAATAGGAACACTTTTACACTGTCGGTGGGAGTATAAATTAGTTCAACCATTGTGGAAGACAGTGTGGCAATTCCTCAAGGGTCTAGAACTAGAAATACCATTTGACCCAGCAATCCCATTACTGGGAATATACCCAAAAAATTACAAATCATTCTGCTATAAAGACACATGTACACTTATTATTGTGGCACTGTTCACAATAGCAAAGACTTGGAACAAACCCAAATGCTCATCAACAATAAGCTGGATAAAGAAAATGTGACACATATACACCATGGAATACTATACAGTCATAAAAAAGGATGAGTTCATGTCCTTTGCAGGGACATGGATGATGCTGGAAACCACCACTCTCAGCAAACTATAACAAGAACAGAAAATCAAACACTGTATGTTCTCACTCATAAGTGAGAGTTGAACAACAAGAACACATGGACACAGGGAGGGGAACATCACACACTGGGGCCTGTCAGGGGGTGGGAGGCTAGGACAGGGATAGCATTAGGAGAAATACTTAATGTAGATGATGGGTTGAGGGGTGCAGCAAACCACCATGGCACGTGTATATCTATGTAACAAACCTGCACGTTGTGCACATGTACTCCAGAACTTAAAGTATAATAAAAAAAAAAAAAGAAAGAAAAGAAAAACAAAAAAACAAAAGAGGAAGAATTGGAGAGAAAGCATGAAAGAAACTGGAGAGTTACTATTATCAGTATCTTATAAAGTGGGTAGTAGACAGATACTGTCTAATGTTGACAGGACAAGAGATGACAGTTTGTGTACATTATTTAAATCAAGTTATAATACAAGAACAGAATATATATATATACATAAAAATATTGGGGATAGATAAGGGGAAAATTGTGTATGTGACACAAATGTCTTATGTGTAGTGAAAAATCCATGTATGTTATCTAAAGTACATAAATGAAGAAATTGAAGTATAAACATTACATTGAATTATAGCAGAAGAACTACAAGAAAAAATTGTTTTAAGAACTAAATCTGGTGATTAGTACTAGAAATAAGGAGTGGTGAGACAAGAGACTGTCTATTTTCATCATAAGACTTTCTGTCCCATTTTAATCTTTACCATGTAGATACATTTATTTAATGAAAACCAAATAAACAGAGCCATTTTTATGAGCAACTTTTAGGAAACATTTTTATTGAAGTTAACAGGCACACTGTCAAGTGCACAAATCTTGATTGCACAGCTCAAGAGCAAGATACAGAATACTTCCAACACCCTAGAAAGCTCCATCCCATTCAATACCCCAAAAGTAACCACTATTCTGACCTCCATCACTACGGATGTTTCACTTGATTTGATAATCATATAACTGAAATCATCCAGTATATACTCTTTTGTTTCTGGTGCTTTTTGGTCTATCATGTCAGTGAGATTAACTCATGCTGTATGTAATTGTTGCCAGGTAGCATTCCATTATATGACTATAACAAAATTTATTCTTATGTTTTGTTGATTGATAGTAAGGTTATTTGTAGCTTAGAGCTGTTATGAATACAGCAGCTATGATCATTCATATATGATCTTTTGATGTACTCTGCACACATTGCAGTCTATCCATCTGACAAAGGGATCTAACCATCAATCTAACCATCTGATGTCTTTTGATGTACTCTGCACACATTGGCTGTATACCTAAAAGTGAAATTGCTGAGTTGTAAGGTAGATGTGTGTTTTAGATTTTGCCAAACTGTTTTTTTTTTTTTGCCTTTTGAAACCAAATATTTAATATTTTCATTAAATTGTTTCAATATAACTTCAGGCAAATGCCAACTGGAAGACCAAGCCCAAAAATTCAGAGGAAATAATCTTCCAAACAAGGAACACCAATGTGATCTTCTTCCACGCCAGCAGCAATACTGGTGACCATAATGGTGCTAGTCAGTTATCCAGATTATCGAGTGTTTACCACATCATTGATTTTCAGAATGCTCCGCAACAGTTTCAGTTGCAAGAGTCAGAGCACTGACTGACACTAACAGAGGCTGGACAACCAGTTCCTCCAAAATGTTGGAAATACCACCCTTTCGGACATTAATGCCTGAAGTTTTTTCTCCCTGGGCATGCCGGTTTCTTAGTTCTGTTACTGTAGAAATGGGATTCAGGCCGGCATTTTCAGCTAGTGTAGATGGAATGACCTCCATAGCATCTGCAAAAGCACGAATGCAGTAGGATTCCATACCACTCAGTGTTTGTGAATATTCAGTTAATCATAGGGTCAACTCTATTTCTGGAGCACCATCTCCTGCAATAAGAGCCCTCTTCTTCACTAAACAACGAATAACACATAGGGCATCATGAATGGAGCGCTCTGCTTCTTCAATCACCAGTTTGTTAGAACCACGAACAACAATTGTAACTGTTTTTCCAGGGCTGGCACAACATGTAATCTTGAGCAGTTTGCCAGAACCATTTAAATTGACCTCCTCAGCTAACTCAGCAGAACCCAGCATGTCAGCAGTAAATTGGTCAATATGAGCAACTGGCTTGGTTTCAATTGTCTTACAAATAAATTCAATGTCTTCTCTTTCAATATCCTTAATCACCATAATCTTCATTTTGTTCAAAAAGTGTAATGCAAGATCACTAAGAGCATCTCTTAGAATAGACTTCTGTATGAGAAGGACATTACATCCTGTTTTTTTAATTTGCTTCACTAAATTTAAAATATAGACTCTCTCTTCTCTCAGCACTCGGTCCATCTGGGCATAGTCAGAAACCACTATTTGATTATCCATATCTGTTTTGGGAGCAGATAAGCAAAACTGAATAAGCCCAATCTTGGCCTTTTCAACTCTGGTTATGCCAGAATTTGATACTTTTTGGGTGAGAACCAGCCCTTCCACCAACTCACAGTCATCAATTGTCCCACCAAGCTTCCTAACTATTTTAATATCTCTAAGATCTACACTGGTGGCTGTGGCTGGGTCAATCACTTTCATCACTGCATTTACACTCATTGGAGAAAGCAGACTTGAATATTGAGAAACAACCTTTGAGTTCAGTGAAGTGGTTGCACTATTTAACAAAGTTTCTCTGTCACTCAGTTCCACAGGTCGAGACATGTCAGTCAAGATTTCAATGCCCTTTTCCAGGGCCTTCTGGAATGACTCAGAAATGATGGTTGGATGAATCCCTTTCTGAAGAAGCTTGGTACACGAATCTAAGAGGGAGCCAGCAATGATGACTACTGATGTGGTGCCATCCCCTGCTTCTATATCTTGAGCCTTAGACAGCTCCACCAGCATTCTGGCTGCTGGATGTAACACTTGCATTTGTTTCAGAGTGGTAGCACCATCATTTGTAATGGTTACATCACCTTTTCCATCTTGAATCATTTTATCCATTCCTTTTGGTCCAAGGCTTGTTCTAATAGCAACAGCAACCGCTTTGGCGGCGGAAATGTTGCTGAAGCGGATCTGGGCTGGCTTGTCGCGGTCCTGATAGGCGCCTTTTCCGCGGCTGCTGGCAGACCCGGCAGGCGCCCCGCTCCGGGGTGCCACATTCTCGGGCATGGCAAAGTCGGCTGGGTCTGGGTGGGCTCGGAAAGGACGGATGGACCCAAACTGTTTTTAAGCATGGCTGTATCAATCCCACCAGCATACATAAATGTTCCCGTTGCTCAACATCCTTACTAACACTTACTACTGTCCATTTTTTTCATTTTAGCCATTCTAATATACACATAGTAGTATGTTATTATGGGTTGGACTGGCATTTCTCTCATAACTAATGAGATTGAACATTTTTTTATGTTACTGGCCATTTGGATATCCTCTTTTGTGAAGTACCTGTAAAGCATTTGCCCATTAAAATAATTTTGTTTTTCTTTTTCTTGTTCTTTATATATGTTATGTTCCTTATATGTGCCACATACATGCCAAATAGATATAGACATAAATATAACTATATATGGCAAATAATATCTTCTCCTACTTCTACTCTGTGGCTTATATTTTCCATTTCATTCTAGTATTTTCTAGTAAACAGATGTTCTTAATTTTATTGAATTCCAAGTTATCCATCTATTTTTACAGTTACTGTTGTTGTATCCTATTTAGAAATTTATATCTGCCCCAAGGTCATAAAGATACTTTTACAAAGTTGTCTTTTGAGAAGTCTTATTGTCTTGCCTTTCATATTTAAGCTTATAATACATCTAGGATTCTCTCTCTCTCTCTCTCTCTCTCTCTGTCTGTCTGTCTTCTTTTTGTTTTCTACTGCATCCAAACAGCGCTTTTCTTGGAGTGGAGGACACAGAAGTCCCAAGACAGGTGGAAGACAGACCCTAAAGGAGAAAAGTTTTCTCTATCAGTTTGCTTGCAGCTATTGCTTGGGCAACCCAGTCTCAGATAATCAGATGATTCTGTCTAAGCTGAGTTGAAAGTGGGTTCTACAAATGCACAGTGGGGCCCTGAGGGGCCTTGGGGGAGCCAAAAGTCCAGAACCACAGGGGCAAGTTTCTGGATCAAAGCACTCCTGGCTGTTAGCAGCAGTGCCAGAATGGTGTCTTTAGCAGATTTACAGTGAGGTCTTCATCACCAATTCTTCAAGTGTAGTTCACCATCCCTCCTGTAGATTTTGTGATCTACCCAATATCCTTCCAAAAATTTTCTTTTACTCCAATTAGCACAGGTTTTATATGAGATCAAGAATTCTGTCTGATAAAAGAAACAAATTCAAAACTCTGCAAAATGACGTAGTCAAGAAAACCACATACCCACTGAAAGCTGAAGTTATACAGTTATACAGGTCCTCATTTGAACTGGGATTACATTTCTCAAACATTTCCCTAAGCTTCTCTGTGGCTGGGGACAGTTAGAGGAAGGCCCGTCTGAGGGGTAGAGGCAGTGCTGACAAATGGCCTTCAGCACCAGTCACGGGGTCCTAACCACATGTGAGACAAGCTAATTTGAACACAAAGTTCTAACCCTTTAAACCCCATTCCTGACATTACCAGGGACTGCTATAGACATTTTGCTGTGCCTATTCTCTCTGAAGAGAAATTCAGTAAAACAAATTTTTTTAATAATAAACTACATTAAAATTAATAGAAGGGTTCAAATTTTGTTGAAATTATCTTAATTAGGAGGAATTTTTAAACATCTCTTCATGATGGAGTACTTTGGAGCGTTGATATGAAGCAAGAGGACTTAAAGAGCCTTGTGGAGGAAAGGAAACACCCCTGGAGTTGCAAATTTTTTTTTTTTTTTTTTTTTTTCTAGGGGATTCTCTGCAGCCTGGGACGTGATGTAGGCAAAACTACATTCTTTGAAAATGTCCATGT